CTGATAGTGAAGGAAAAAAAAAAAAAAAAAAATTTAAAAAAATTAATCAGTAGGTAAAATGGAAGTAGTTTTGACTTTGTTGTTTCCCAGTTTTTCTCCAGCAGCCGTTCAACCTAGATTTTGTTGGTAGTGATCTTACTTTCAATGCCATTGAAAACTCATCTACAGAAAGGCTTTGAAAACTTTATTTGTTAGAATGACAAAGTCAGTAAATTAGAAGTGTTGCTATTAACTTGGAACCTGATTCTGTCAACATTTATGCAGGTGCCTAATTAATTCATGTAGTTAGACTGAGAGATGTTAATGGATCACATTTTTCAGTCTAAGTATACGCATAACTGTTTTCAAGACCACAGCTCAAACTAAGAAACCAATATTTAATTTTTCCCCAAAAGTATTGATTTGCTTCTGAATCTGAAATTCATAGCCAATCTCATAGCCAATACATAATAAATGAATCATCCTCTATCTGATGCGTTTACAAGTTTCAACTCCAGATACAGATTTTATGCCTTTGCCTGAATTTTGCTTGTAGCTATTTTACTGTTGGCATAAGAATATCCTTCTTTGTACAGTAAATGACAGATAAGAAAGACTGGAAGTTTTGTGGGTGCAACTGAGTTAGGTATTTCCCTATACATCTCTGTCATGGAGCTCCTCAAGTGTGGCCCAATAACCTTAACTGGAGAATAATACAGTTCTTAACTCAATTTCCAAAAACTTTACTGACAACATATGCTTAGAGAAACTATAAGTAATAGCATCTTATTAGTTTGTGTTTTTTTCTTGCTTGTCTAATCAAAAATGAGCACCGATGTAAAAATGCAATTGGCAAGCGAGCAATTCATAGTATAGTTTAATGGCTATTTCCATTTTGAAACAGTAGATAAAGTTCACCTATAATAATGTAAATTAAGGACTAAACTGTAGCCAGATCTGCAAGGTCAAAATTGTTGAAAGAAGCTTTCACATCCAATGGGCAGTCCCTGTAGTAATACATGTGGTCAAAAATGAGTACCTCATGTTCACCAAAATGAACAAAATGTATCTTTCCGTCTCCTCCCCGTGCCTGATGCTTATGAATCTACTACTGCTGCTGCTTGAATGAACAAATGGAGCCATGACTGTTGGCATCTTTCCAGTGGCATAGTGAGAAAAATGACCTGTGGGGCTTCAATCTGGAACATTATTGGTGTAAGGCTTCATTGGCTGAGCTCAAGGACTTTAAAATTTAGGTAGAAGGGGAAAAAATCCCATACAGAGAGAATATGGAAAAATATGGAAGAGCCTGTCATCCTTTGACAGCTGAGCTGTGCTTTGACCTCTACCTATTTGTTCCTCTGGTACATCCAGGATGGTTGTAAGTCCAATAAAGTTTTAGTAAAGTAATATATGAGTATATTATTTCTGGTGAGAAGTGTTTCTTATTGTAGCACATTTTGCAGGATCTGGTGCTGAACAAAGACCCTATAGCTGCCTATTAAATACTTTAACAACAATTTCCATGACACCAGGGGAAGTTCTGCTTTAGCAAGTAAATAATCTCTTAAAATATTTCACTTCTATATCTCCCTTGTAGATCTCTGTGCATAAGACTACAACTTCAGAGGGTCTGCTTGTGACCAGACTCGCGTAACAAATACAGCATGTATCCCTGCCTGCTTTTTCTGTGTGTTTTCATATTCATAGGTCAAATAAAAAAAAATTGGAAAACAATAACAGTAGCCCAAATATAATATTTAGATGTTAAATGGAAATTACAATATATATTGTAAGAAGAGAAATGAATTGCAATGGTCAACTAAAATAAGCATCTTTTTCTTCTTTTTTGGGGAAAAAAATCTGAGCAGTGAATTCTATCAGGCTATGAACAATTTCCTCGAGGAGTTGGTGGAAGTTCCTTCATTTGAGTACCTTCATTTTAAACATGATTCAGAAATAGCTTCTAGATAAAATGTGTAGAAGCATATATGTTATTTGGACTAAATGGTATCAAAACATAGAAATATATGTCTGGATACAATCACAAAATACAGGTTTTTTAAAAAAACATTTTCTCAGATATCTTATACACACGCTACAAAAATCTCTGTTGGGTACTTAAAAAAAGGGTATAGTACTCCAACTAGGGCCTCACTGTGCAAGTTCACAGTATCTTCTCTCAAGTCTTTTTTTATATGTTGTAATAATTCTAGACTGACCTTTGCCATTTTTTACAATAGCATCACATTGTTAGACACATTGCAAAAATCCGTTTGACTTATCTTTCCGGTTTGACAATGTACCACAGGTAATGGTTGCTTGAGATGCTTTTTCTCATGAGTTCCATGTCCATGTTATAGTAATTTAATTTACATTTCCCTTGTTTTGCTTCTAAGAATGTCATGTGTGGGCTTGTCAGAAATCTTACCGAAGTCAAGCTGTATCATATCTGTTGCTTCTCCCAACCTACTAGTTAGCTGCCCTGTCAAGGAAAATATTGTGCTAACTTGATGCAACCTATTTTGACAAATCTGTTGCCTTTCCGACATCTGCTCATTATTTACAAGATAATTAAACATTAATTGCTTTACATCATGTTTAATTTTCTTTCTGGGTACTGAAATTAGGCTGAATATCTTATAATATTTCCTTCTTTTCTTCTCTACCTTTATATAAATAGATATGTCCTTTTTCTTCTTTTTCTAAATCCCTGGAACTTTCACTATTATTGTTTTTCTTGAGTTCTCAAAGATGGTTCAAAAATTGCTTTGATTATTTTCTTAAGAACTGCAGGGTAAATTTTATTACGCTCTGTTAACTTGAAGATGAATTTAATAGATATATTTCTTTGTGTTTATGTAGATGCCCTTTCCTAATTCAGTTCTGTTGTACTTACTATTAATTGTGTTAAAACACCTGACTGCCTCTGCTATTTAGGAAATTCTAGACAGAAATTTAAGGACGCTAAAAATTAGGATTCTTTGCCTTCTTTTCTGTTGGCATTTTTGCATCTCTGTCTTTACTTGTTTTATCCTTATGACCCTAAATAATTTTTCTTTTATTCTTTATGTTTACTTGTTTTCATTGTATTTTTAATGATTGCTTTTTGATTTTCAGCCTAAAGACTTCCTTATGCAATCATATTAGTCTCCTACTATAACTTCAAGTGTTCCGTTAATTAAGATAATTTGATATATGCATTTATTAGTACTCTTTCTAAAACTTCCAGCTCTCTCAAACTCCTTTTCTACTTAAAATATTTCCCTTGTGCCTAGCAATGTTTTGTTAATGTTTACTTTTTTAAAAGTCTATTCTTGCTGTCACTTTTTCCTGTTTTCTCCAATATATTCCAAGCACTTACTGCACTTACTGAACATTACCTGCATGAAAGATGCAATTCTGTTCTTTCATCTGTGTACATGAATAAACGTGTATATATATATGTTTGTATATATATAGGCAGAATAAACAGGATTTGAATAGATATATCCCTTTAAAGGGTTCCACTTTAACATCCAGTGAGTAATACTTCAATGCCAGAAACAGAAAGGTTGAGCTCGTAATTTCTGCCAGTTGTGCTTCAAAATGTAAAGTTTTTCTGTGTGTTTATTTTAAATCAGATAGTAAGAAAGATGCATAAAACATAGTTTTCATTATGAGTAAAATATATTTAAGGACATTCAGTCAAGAAGCAAATGTGGTTTCCTGCCACAGTGAAAGTTTACTTCCTAGGAGAGATTGTCACTGCTCTCGATAAAAATGACACTGGAAATTCCCCTTTGTGTTCATCAGTCAGGATCAGGCTACCAAAAAGTGTATTACAAATAAGGTGTGGGGAAAAAAATTATAAAGAAAGATAATATTATAACAAAAAAGGCAACTGTCTGAGTTAGGAATCATCTTTTCCTCTTCTTCCAATTATAGTGCCAAAATAATAGAGCCAATGGTACATTATGTGGATACCTAGATGCTAGAAGAAGAAAAATAATAGAAATGATGTGAATATAATGAAAAGATGGCTGTCTATAAATCTTAAGCTTGACTCAAGTTCCTTAAATTTGTAAGAATTAATCCCAATGGATTTTGTATCCAGGTTTCTAACACAGCATTGGTTGTATTTGTCCTGTAGTATATGAGAGCCCAGTCCTCCAATATTAATGTTAAAATATTGAAGAATAGGAGTAACTAAGTACAGGAGTATGGGTACATTATAATTAGTGGGACCTGGTCTTCATGTTCCTGTTTGTAGGATTTGGGGAACATTTATCTTTCTGCATATGTGGTATGCAGAAAGTGATTATACCTTCAAAGGAATCCTGTATAAAATGTGAAGGAAAACCTCTGGTTACTTCAAGGAATGCCTTTAAACTATTTACATGAGTAAATAATTGCTTTACGATATGTATTCAACAAGCTCATGCCACAGTTTATAATACCATTAGCTAATATCTATGGCTATTTTTTGTGTTATATATATGATGATAGTGAAGAAACAAAATGTCCATTTACATGCCTTCACAAAAGTAATTTGCCAGATTTTGCATTCTAAACATGTTTTGTCCCTTATACAATTATTATTATTCAATATGAGCTAAACTGCAGTTAGTTATCTAAATTAGTAGGCATAATGGCTGCATTTTGCTTTGATCATTTGGTATAAATATGTACTCTGTTCATTCTGAGTTGTAGAGGTTTTAAATGTACTTTGCTGATAGCTCAGATAGCTTGCAGTCTTTTAAAAGTTAGTAAATCACACTTTTTAAGGGAAGTTTTGCATTCTTTGTTGTGCAATTGGAGGAAAGAATATGAAGAAGGCTATTTTCATGCTGTCAAGAAAATGTGCCAGCTCTGCATGCGTAGAGTCGGTACAAACCCACGCCACGAGCCTTCCTGGGTCTTGAAATTGTAACAACAGTATGTACCATGTCTACTGGAAAGTATTTATGCCCAAGGGTAGGGGAAAAATGTTCACAAAAGATGATGTCTAATCTTACTGCCTTTCATTTTGTTTAATCTAGTTATGCCACGTTTTGCTGAACAAGTTGAGGTTGCCATTGAAGCTTTGAGTGCGAATGTCCCACAGCCATTTGAAGAGAATGAGTTCATAGATGCCTCCCGCTTGGTTTATGATGGAGTTCGTGATATCAGGAAAGCTGTTCTGATGATAAGGGTATGTAAAGCACCTGGGAAATAAAAGTTGGGACTTACAGGAAAGTATCACATTGGATGAGAGGCATAAAAGCTTCCTGGAACCAACTTTGTTTCATAATAAGTCAGAAAAGCTTGACATTGAAACAAGCATGAAACAAAAGTATGTGCAGGAAAAAAGAATTTGTAAGTAAAGAGATGAGGGTATTTTAGGTGATGAACCACAATTAATTTGTTCACCTAGGAGAAGATTTGATCACAACTGCCAATAGATGCAAACTTCATTACTGTTTCCGTAGTGATAGCATTAATTTGCTAAGATCTTCAAAGTTTGTGTAGAATTTTGTTGGTTTTTTTTTTCCTAATGTATGTGTGCTGCCTAGGATATGAGGTAAGTCTGGTTAAAATCTAAATGAATAAATAAATTATCTTGCTGCTCCAGTAAGCGTCTGCAGGGATGGTTTTGAATGTTTACTGAGGTAAAGAATGTATCATTCCAGTATTGACTAACCAGTTGATTCAATTTGCTTAGACATCTTTTAAAAAACCAACCAAATAAATAAAATAACCCACAGAACAACATAATTATTGTTAGAGTAAATGTGTATCTTGCTTTTCAGTGTAGTCTACAGTCAAAGATTTAAAAAACAAAACCAACAAAAACCAACAAACCAAACCTGGTTTGGACATATCTTCAGCAATTGAAACTCTTATTTGAAACCCAAATTACCTTGAATCTGCCCCAGTGAAAGCCACGTACAAATAAAGCTATGGTGAAAATCACAGAGAAAACTTATGAAGCAAATAACGGTACTAAAAAACAACTCATCCCTTTGAGTAAACAGGTAACATACACTTGTGGTTGTGAGTGTGGTATGGCACTGATGTAAGACTTCAGGCAGTTGGAGCACTCCAAAATAGCTTCGTTTTAGTCGTCTGTCGCTATGTATTAACATTAACACAAAAAGCTTTTGACAGGCTTAATTTTGTAACTGCAAAACATAAATTCCATTCCCTACCCACTGCTAATCTCAGGTAGCCTGAATTATAGTCATGATTGATGATGGGGGCAAACCCACCCTGTTTTCTGGGTTTGCAACATCGGGGTATTCGCAACCCTTCTGGATTGGGATGGAAATGAAAGATCTGCATAGTAAAGGATCTCTGTTTTGCCTTTGATTATCCAGTTCCTTAGCCTGTAACAGCAGTTTCCAAACCTCTCTTAGGACAAGAACCACTTCTAAGCACATTTTAAACTTTTATAGTCTCTCATGAGTCATTTTAAATTGCTTCATGAGACACAATCATCAGGTGGGATCTGCTACAGACCCACGCTTTCCCATCCCCTGTGCAGAGTTCTGACTTCCAGCACCCCCCTGTACATCAGAGCTGTCCCGGAGAGGTTGCCATGAGACTGTCCAAACTGGGTGAGATGTTTCTGCTAAGCAAAAAACACCATTTTAAATTCTGGAGGCACACTTACTTATTTCATTGCTGTCTTACTGTTATATTCACCACTAGCTTGGAAAGCTGATCAGCATGCAGGTTTTGCAGTCTTCTCAGAAACATCTGAGGTTACTTTTGCAATTGTATCACTATTACTTTCCACTCCTTGTATGATATGAGTTAATGAATTCTGTTTTCCCAGATTAGGAAGATGTAGTTTTGCATTCAGACAATTAACTTATTTATGGAGCTAAATGTAGTGCTCCTCACCCAGGCAGAGAACTAAAGGACGTAAATGGACTCATTATCCTTGTGAGTTAACTGGGAAAATCCACATATATAAACTTACATAGACCTGAGTTTGCTGAATCAGAACCTTATTTTCTTAGGAAACAAAATTAGTTTCAGTTTGAGACACTCTTTAGCATTCCCATCCAGACATCTGACATTGAAATGGAATGTATAATTAAAGGGTGAGCATTAAGCTATAAAAGACAGTCTTTAGAACATTTTTATCTAATAATCTATTAAATCTCATGCACATCTTTAATTCAGGCTGTAAAACTTCTTGCAGAATTATAAAAAAAATAAAAAAAACCTTGACAACTTTTTAGAGCATCTGACACAATTATTTTCAGGCAGTAGTTCCATGCCACAAAAGATTGAATTTATCTGAGATGATACCCTCATTCCACGGAGGAAATAAAGCCACTTTTTAAATTAATTTTTGTTGGTATTATTACTTTTAGTAAGCTGAAGGAAAGGGGGATAATCTCCATTCTTCTCTTTTCCCTTGAGAAAGGGAGATTTTATTGTCCCTTTGGAAGAGAAAGAAGACTCATTTTTGCATTGAGGACTATTATTATGATCTATACAGACGAAAAAAATCTCTTTCACAATTAAGAAGAAGTATAAATAAATTTAGGAGTATAATTATAGAACCTAAAAATAAGATAGAAAATAATAACTTAGTTCCAACATCTTTTATGTTACTGCATCAGGATCAAATTACGCTTTGTTTTTTCATAGCTACTTATGAAATTCCCTCAGTTATTAGACAGAAACCCTCTCTACAGTTAGGAAGAATCACAATGGCACCTTTTCTCATTTTCTGTATCTCTGAGGCCAGTCTGCTCTTTTCACATGCTATTGGCAACTTCACCGCTAGTTGCATCTATGTTAGCATTAGTGTTATATTTGTTTGGATCGGGAGTGCGCTTTTGGAGCCAATCTCCAGTTGTTCCCTCTTGCTGTGTTTTAGTTCATGTTACAGAGTAGTCTTAGAGATATAAACTTGATTCTTGGGGGCGATCCTGGAAGATGTGCTCTAGGAGTGTCTTAAATGCACTTCTATCATTAAGGGACTTTCAGTCCATGGGAACAGACCACAGCGAGCCTGAATAAAAATGAAATGAGGGTAGTGCAAATGTGGGGTCCTTAGCAGCAACTGTTTGGATGTATGAATCCTCTTCTACTCTTCCACGCTTGCCAATGTAGGCTTAGCCTTGATCACCTGTGGGGTAGCCACTGCGGTGAAATCCAAAGTACTGCCAAATCTCAGGTCCTCTGGAAAACTCAACTTGGTGCGGAATCCCATCATCTTTTTGAGTAGCCTATTTCCAAAAGGTGCTATGGGGGGGTTCATTGTCTACACTGACTACCTGTTGCTTCTTGGGTTGAATATGGAGTGTCAGATTTTACTGTAAATCATTAAACAGCTGAAGACCTGCTGTGAGAGAAGTTCTCTGTCTTTGCCACTCGGATGCTGCTTGCAGCACCTGAGTCACTCAGGCTGCAACTGCCTTTGCACAAAACCAAATGTACAGAATAGCGTGGAGTTGAATAAAAAAGCATATTATAAAGGCTTTTTTTTTATTGTCCTTAGCTTTTAGAATTAGAGGGTATTTTCGTGGTAAAAAATGGAGGAATATCTTGTCAGTCTGTCTTTCCTCTCATTACAAGGTTAGCTTGACTTGGTGTTTCCAGTGCTGAAATTCTTATAATTGCATCTTACAATTTTTAAGTGCATACAACACTACAGCATAGTGGGGTTTCTATCTTCATCAAGTATATTTGAATTGGTGAAATATTAAACAAATAGCATTTATAAATCTGTGTATATATGCCATTTTACTATTTGTACATGCATAATTCACATTTTTATACTGCAGTTACAAAAGATAAAACAAAACTGTATTGATGGAAGATATTTTGTTTATTGCAAGATCTTCAGTCTAGCAGCCAGAGAGATATTTAAAAAAAAAAAAAAAAAAGATTCCAATGACTGGAAGCTGAAAGTCACCAAATTCATATTAGAAATAAAGCATGCACCTTAAAAGAGAAAATATATATTTACTGGGTGATTTATCCAGGATTGTGAAAGATTCTTCTACACTGGGAGAATTCATCTGAATTAGATGAATGAAGTGAGGAATATGCTCTATGTGTAGTAGAGATACTGGATTTGAAAAAAATTAGTCCTGGGAAGTCTTACGGCCTGTGCTACAGAACAGACAGACTAAAAATTATGAAAATGGTCCATTTTTCCGTTGAAATCAATTAGTTCCTAAAATCTATTAGTTTTTAAAGTTACTCTAGCTCTTCCTGCCGCTGGTGGTTGTCAGGTTTGTTTGGAAGCTGTCTCCAATCTCAAATCCATGTTTCCTACGTCTGTGTGACCATAGGTTCAGGCGTCTGCAAGACTGATTCAGTCCTTCTGTCTTCCAGCTCAGATAAATTAAGTTCCCGACTTTGTTGTCTTGGAAACTAGGTTTTAAATACCAAGGTCCTGTCAGTTGTGCACAAAAATTGGAGTTGTTATGGTATGTTTAGAAGGCCCTGCAAAGAGTAAAAATCTTTAAGTCAAGGTACTTATAATATTTCCTTTTTATACCTTTGTGTCTAAAGAAATAGGAGACCCTATTATATAAGGGCTGCATCTCCAAGAGATCAGATAAAACAAAGCAATGGTGCAAGAATGAAAAGTATGCAACGTGTTTGAAATGACAGCATACAGATAACAGTTACCTGCTGTTCTTCATCTTAATGAAAAATGTAGCTATTTTTGGAAGAAAATGAGGGTGTTAAATTCACCACACTTGAAAACCTTAAGAGAGAGAATCTGAAAGTTAGTTTTGAATTAGATCTCACTTGTACAGAGGGGAAATACTGAGATTTCTTGTGCTTGTAGTATATTATTAACTGTTGCCTTAACTTGTCCTTTTGGTTTGCACTACATTTTCTCCAAGTTCAACATTTATACCCATGAAGTTTCAATCTTTTAAAGACCACAAATTTTAAGATTGTGAATGTCAAGCAGTAACAGCAATACTTCTTTAAGAATATTTCTTTAAGAATAAATCCCTGAAACATAGAATTTTCAGAATATTTTAGCTTTTTAAGAGGCATCCTCATGTCCTTAGTGGTTACAGTGTTGAGATGTAATTTTTTGAATATTATGCCCTTACTTTACTGCAACTCCGACGATGAAAGCCTGGGGAAGGGCTGCGCATTATCTTGTATAGTCTTATTTACAAAAATGGAGACAGAAGAAACTAACAAGAATATACCTGGGGGGGGAAAGGGTACTGGTTTTACAATGACCAGTGCAACTGGCTAGTTGAACGGACTTGGAGGATGGGGAAGAGCCAGCTGGTTTATGAAGTAGGGGTTGAAACTCTCCACCCTGTTCCTGTTCTTCACAGGAAAGCCTAGGTAGATGAAAAGCCAAGCCCTATGATAGGAAATACTCTCTCTTGCTCAGGGAGTTCTATGATCTCTTAGTAGCTGGTTTGCTTATGGCAGATTTTAAAGTCACATCCTGCCCTCAGGCAGCTGAGCAGAGAGAATAAAGGGATTAAAGGTGATTGGAAAGCTAGACCATTATAATGATGGGTACCAATCTTTCTTTTTTTTCCTGTGGCAGTAGAGAAAACATAAATTCATTTTTCTAAACTTCATCTCCTGTCTATCCTGTTATATACACTATTTGTACATGCATCTCTTCAGAGATGCAGCCTGAGTTCCATTACCATACTGTCACACTTGGTTATCTCTTCCTCCAGTGCTCAGCATCAAAACACATATATAATTCATAGTCTTTAAGCCAAATGAAGATGGCTTTGTTTTACTCTTCCCATCATGTGCACTTCACCATGTAGCTAGCAAAGCAGTTGATTTTCCGTTACAAACAGTGATGTGCACTTCATGTTGGAAACCAGGCTGTAATATAAATACCGCCAAAAGACTTTTCTACATTATGTTAGAGGGTTTGGACCTGTTCCTAGTGACTGAGCATCTTCAAGACAGAGCTGTAATGACAACTGGCAGTGATTAGCACCTCTGCTAGCAAACTTGACGTTGCCTCCAAGCACAAAATGCCAGCATGGATGATTTCTTCTGTAATGGTTGGCCCTCTAGGTTAACACTGAGGCATATGGGTATCCAGTAAGGTGAGGATTTCTCTGCACAGTTACCGTGATCTTCTTTTTCTATTACCGCTGTCATGTATTGTACCTACAGAAGGTACTCATGGTCAGATTGTTGTACTAGATGCTATTCAACTACAAAATGGATATAATCTTCCTTCTAAAGACTATTTCTGGTTTTGCACCATCTATATTAAAAATAGTACTAAATAGTGATTTAAAGTAGGCTGTCTCTCCGTATATACATAAGGAAATCTTTTTGCTCCTAATTTTTTGCTAGAAGGTGAAAAAAACAAATAAACAGATCCATCAGTTATCTTTTTTCTCCCTCCCTCCAACATTTGAAACAACCTGAAGCCAGCATATACGTAACTAGATTTAATCAATCTGCCGAGAGACCCTCACACCATTCGTAGCACCAGCAATGGAGATAATGCGGTTTCAGTTTAGGGGATGAGGCAAATTCCAAAGCTCTGTATCTGAAAAGAACCATGTGAACCAACAAGATAAAGCAGATTATAAACTTTATTTTTGTTTCAAAACCAGTTGACATCATTTATGTTTTCTTTCAAGGGGAAATCTCTTCTTTGCTTTGATAACTTTTTCTTCCAGGATATTAGTTATTTTTTCCCAGGTACTTACTTTCTCCTTTGAAGATTACATGGACATTCTAGTAATATTATAGTATTAGTGTCCGTTTATATATGAAATAACATTATTTTGAAGTACTGCATTCCGGCTGTGTTTCCAAAGGACATTTGTTCCTGGAACTGCATTCATCATGTTAACAGAGTTAAGAAAAGTTGCAGCAAGGTAATGATAAATGCCATTTGTAAAGAAAACTAGAGTTGAAACAACTTAATTTTTAAGACAATTCAATTTCAGTTCTTGACTGCTTGGGCAGACAAGTTAATTTAAAAGGAAAGAGAAACAGCATTTCCTGGGCAGGTAGTCGATGAAATAAGAGCTTACTGTACATAGGACTTTGTCTGTATCCTTTATAAGCTTGTCATCTCCTCTCTTTTGCTTTCTCTCCCTGTCTCTCTCTCTAGACCCCTGAAGAGCTAGAGGATGATTCAGACTTTGAGCAGGAAGATTATGACGTTCGCAGCCGAACAAGCGTTCAGACTGAAGATGACCAGCTTATTGCTGGCCAGAGTGCAAGGGTGAGTATAAAACCCATGTACTACATTAAGTGTCTGTACAGCTACAAATAAAAAGCTATGCCCTGGAAAGCAAATGCAGCGATTTCGAATCTTCAGGGTCACTTAAGAAAGGACAGAAGTAAGTTGACCTAGGTGTTTAAAGTTTCTTCATGTCTCACCTATTTGAAAAGCACTGACTTTATTGAATGATCTTCCTTAGGCTTATGTGATGTCTTGTATCAGCCTTTTGCTCCAGCTAGTGCTGTAGGAGGAGGCCTTGCAGGTTTGGAACATGCTGAAACCGTGGGAGTAGTCAGCAAATTAAAATTAAAAAAAAAAAAATCCCATCAGGGCACCATGTGCTATATCCAGAGAAATCTTACATTAGTCATGTTTCCCAGTGTGCAAACCTGTCAAGAAGATCTGTTTAAGCTACCGAGTAGTCCCTGTAATTTAATTGTAATTGAAGACATTTGTTACTGAGTCAATGTAATTTTACCAAGGTAATTACATCATGATAAACTTGAGTCATTGTGATTTGTGACCTCAGCTTGTGCATGGGGATTGCAAATTAAGCTGATGAGTGTTTCAGGGGTCACAGGTGCTGGAGAAGTGAAGTTTGTTAACACTCAGGATTATGCCACCCTCTGAGGAATGTTTACCTTTTACTAAATAGGCTGCTGTGCTCAAATTATTAAAAAAAAGACCATCAGAATATAATTTTGGGGGCAAACGACATCATGAAAATATATTTGACTGGAAAAAGAGTTTAAAAAAAAGCCTTAAAATTTTCCAGCAGAGAACCAGTGGGCAACTGGGAATTACCTGAATGATTTTCATGGCTGTTTTGCACAGGTCTGTGGTTTCTTCTGATAAGTGTTAAAATTAAAGTAATGGACTGAATGAGAAGCATCCTCCCCACACACATTCAAAAACTGTAGCAAAAGCTGGTAACTGGAACGGTGACTTCTTACCTTTAATTCTGGAAGAGGATTTGTAGGGCTGAGAACCTGAAGACCAAAAGGCAACGGTGCTTTGAAAGATCAATTCAGAGGACTGGGAAAGAGGAGTTTTCAGCTGCTGTAGGAAGACCCACAGTATGTTAGGGCCTGACACAAACATTTTAAACCCTGAAAAGAAACAATAGGGAAATGCAAACCTAAATGAAGCTTACTTAGAGGTATGGGAGGAGTGTGAGACATAGATACAGTGGAATGGGCAGAGGTTTTTTTTTTTTTGTGTTAAATTAAATTCCCTGAATATTGAATACAGATGGTAAATAAACCCTACCACATATCAGAAAAGCTGGGTTTCTATGACTACATCCCAAGGACAAACAATTTTGTCTTTGCATATCAAGGACATATCATATATATCATTATCACCTAGATGAAGAGCAGATGGATTGTAGGTCCCATCCCAGAGAGCTGGGTGACCAGGAACTGGCATTGAAAACCATGCAGTCAGGAGAATTGCAGAATGATACCTGGATACCTTACCCTGAGAACGACGACAGAACTATGTTCTGGATGCAGTTGACTACCTTTGGGGGATTTTTATGTTCTAAAGAGTATAAAGTCCTGTTTAATGTATTCAAAGAATTTAATACTAAAGTAAGTCTCAGGTACAAAGGTATTGAGATACAATATAGTATTTTTTTGTTGTTCTTTTGGTTACATCTAGGATTGGGTAGCATATCATCCTTTCTTGACCTGAAAACCAAGTAAAGACTGCAGTAATATTTTTACTAAGAATCTAATTCACCTAGGGACTTAGGAGTCTTAAATTCTATTACATTTATTGCGGTTATTATCACTGCTGCACTTAAAACCTTCTGCTTTGATCAGCTACACGCTGTATAAACATAATATATTATAAAGACAGTCCCATTCCTGAATAGCGTAGAATGCAATAAATGTAGAAAGCAACAAATGATGAAAACCTGAAATGAAAACATGCTAAGCAGAAGCCCCCCAGTCCACAGTCTTGAGTGACTCAGTGAAATGAGTCTGCTAAGCAGAATAGTATCTTATTTGAACCTTTTCTGTAGAAAAGCTGGATTTTTGTTTGTGGAGTGTAATGGATTTGTTTAATATGCTTACTCCATAAAGCTATTAGTATTTCAGTAGAAAGACTTGTGTTGGTCTTCAATAGAAATAAAACTTGAATATATGAGCTGCATTTGCTATAGGATATAGCTTCTTTGAAAACACATCAGCAGCTGGAATAGAAATGTTAAAACACTGTATACCAGTTTAAAGGATATGCAGGTGAAGCTGCCCACAGAAAGAAACCACATGTAAGACATACAGAGCACCTTTCCAAATTTTACTACTCCGATCACATTCTCTTAATTTCAGTTAATTCATCTGTTCTAGTGTTTTATGTGTATTTTATATATTTATTTATTAGCTTGACTTACACTGCATTTTTCTGAGGGAAGACTAATATACTAACATTTGAAACTGCTGAGTTACATTGATAAGGCCTAATTAAAACTCATGTGTGGAATTTTAATTTGATTAACTTGCAAATTTCTCCTTTTCTGATCTACTGTTTATAACCTTTTTTAATTTCAGTTTTGGAAAAGGTCAATTATGAATTTTTAAAAGCCAAGAGCATTTTAAGAATATGTAGAGAAAGACTTCAGCTGATTGAAAGTGACATAAACAAGAAAAAATGTAATGACACTTAAATATGTGTCACACCCCATTAAATGCATAATGTGGTCTTCTGAACCCCTAAAGCCAATAGTAGCTCAACTTGGAAATTATTATTGGAAGTGTCCATTTGATCTTCAAAAGTAATTATTATAATTTTGTAGGGGTTTCTTTTTTCTTTTTTTTTTTTTTGGGGGGGGGCCGGGGAACTTTGTGCTTTGTTGATAATGTTGAGGCAGATTAGTATAACCTGTGTACGCCTTTTTGCATATCTTCCAAGAGACAATTAGACCACTAAATATTATTGAAAGGTACATTCATTACAATTAATTTCAAATGTATTATCTTGCACGCCATAGCTTATTTTAGTGTTGGTTTAAGCAGAAAACCTCTGTTTCTGACAAAGAATGAGACTAGGGGAGATACTGGCAATTCAGCCTGCCTTTTCCCATAGATGACATTCATTTTGTTCTTCCTAAAGGTTAAGCTTTAACAGGAATTTTCTTTAATCTTCCTGTATCAACTGGTCAATAATCTGTATGTCATGGCATCACATATATAATTTTTAAATTTTTGAACGTGTAAGAAGAGCTATAAATATCCTGTGAATTTGTTTTTACCTGTCCTAACAGAAATCAAATGTCTACTAGATTTTGTTTGGCATCTTCAACTCCCATGAAAAGAAACTAGAAGTTGGGTATGCCATTTGGACCACTGGAAATGTATACTTTCTAGCTTCCTTTTTTCATGCCCAACTTCTCCCATTTTTTCTCCAGGCTATCATGGCTCAGCTTCCCCAGGAGGAGAAGGCTAAGATTGCCGAGCAGGTAGAGATATTCCACCAAGAAAAGAGCAAACTGGATGCAGAGGTGGCCAAGTGGGATGACAGTGGTAATGACATCATTGTGTTGGCAAAGCAGATGTGCATGATTATGATGGAAATGACAGACTTTACAAGGTAAGGACAAAATAACGTGTGCTGAGGACTTCTTCAGACATCCCACATCTTTCCTTTCTGTTTCAATACATAGCCTATTGAGATGATGTGCTGTATTTTGGGGGATGCAAAGCCAGGTAACACATATCATACATAACGGGATGCGTTGTACAGTTCTCTATGCATGACTGCTCTGGATATTTCTCCAAGTGGGTTTAATTACGTGAAGTTTTTGTCCTATTTACAAATCTGTTTTATTTGCAGATCATCTAAAACTTCACCAGCAAAGATAGTCTGTGACCTTACAGACACTCAACTGACATTTCATTTAGTACCCATCTAAATGCATGTGCCTCTCTGAACTTTCAACACTTCAACACAATTTGTGTCAATCAAAAATAATGGCAAAACTATTTATATCATTTTGAACACTGAACTTCTTTCCAAAAAAATCCCAAATGAAATGAAACTGTTTTGATCTAATGTTTTATTGGAGCCTGTCAGTAATGATTTTTTTTTTTTGCCTTCATTTCTTTTTTCTATTGATGTCTTGTTCTTTTCTAATGTCAAAGCATCAAAAGGCCATTCTTTAATGATATCATATAAACAGAATTATTTTGTTTAAATTTAGTCATATTGTTAATCACACCAGGGAGGACATTTTAGAAGATTCTTTGAATTACAGATCACCATAATAAATTAAAGGTTTTTCAGTGTTTATTTTTAATGGGAGTTCAAAAGTTTAAATGGCATTTATCAAAATGTGATTAGACAAAACTGGACAAAAATCTTCATGTTTTTCTTGAGAATTAAAATAAGACATCCATTTATTCATCTCACTGAGATGCTCAAATAGATTTCTTAATCTCCAGCTGATCACATGCCTTGTGTCTGGAGCCTTCAATCCATTTCGGAGAAGACAGTCTCTACATTGACAATGTAGGGTTCGCACATACCTTATATATATATAGATAGAGTGGTGTGTGTGTATAAATACCTTTAATTTGCAAATAACTTGACTATTTGCACTTGCATAGTTAGGTAATTGGTAATAGGCAACAGCAAACATTTTTATCCATTTTAAATTTAATTATGCAAATAGAAAGATTGCTTACTTTAATAGATTACTACTATACTTCTTTCCAAGTAATTATTCTCTCAGTTATTTGTTTTTCTCTCAGTTTATACTTTTACAGCTATACTTTCTGCAGTAGACTCACCACTCCTGTGTACCAAATGACCACATAGAACCTCCTGTGAAGGGTGATATTTTAGAGGAATCTTAATTACTTTTGTATTTGTATTGTCTTTGGGTCTCTGATCCTTCTGCCCAAAAACAGAGTGAAAAACAGTCCAAACAGTGCCATTGTTTCATGGAAGGAGAAATAATGTTCTAAAGCAACAGCCCAGAATATGAACACTTTCCGCAAGCTCCCAGACACCCTTTGATACATTGAACATAAAATTGAAAGTTTTGTAATTACATTTTCTACCATCAAAAGAACAGAACTAATATGAGAATGAGAGCAAACTACTGTCACATTTGAAGTAAATTAAAAAAAAAAAGAATCAAAGTGCACCTCTGTCTACATCAGATTCAATAGAAACTTGTTTAATATATTCCATTAAAACAGAACAAAGCCTTTCACACCTTTTTGGTTGACTGTAACCTCAGCAATGTTAAAACAGAATAATTTTTCAGATGCATGGAGTTTGTGACAGTCAGATCTGCTGATGTAATTAATGTAGAAGCATACGAGGTCACTATGAAGGATTTTTGCTACAGTTTAAGTTCAACAAAAATGGGATACTTGTTTCAATATCTGTTTAAGGTGGAAATGAAAGTATGGAAAGAAAATAAAAATGGAAATATGTTTCAGTACGTTATTCTTGGCATTATAGATGAAAAAAATGCAAAAATAATACTATGTTGCGCTTAGAAAAAATGCCTTCAGTTTTAGTTTAAAAAAAACTAAGTTTGATCTTATTATGGTTTTCCACCAGTCTTGTCTAAAGCTATATTTCTTCACATAGTATAAAAAAACAACAAAAAAAGAAAATCATCTCACTTCTAACTGAGCCATTCTCAGGAGCAGTAGCGAATTTATTATTAGAAACAGGATTAAAGTGTTGAGTCTGAAGCAAACTCAGAAAAGTCTGCAGTTACTTTTTACTTTTTGTCTATATACATTTTGGTAACTTTAATGACTAAAATCAGAGTTTTGTGCATCACTTAAAAGTATAGTGAAAGATCAGTCTTAAAGCTAATTATACATGTTTTAAGTGTAACATTTAAGTGTGTGTCCTGATTTCGGCTGGGATAGAGTTAATTTTCTTCCTAGTAGCTGGTATAGTGCTGTTTTGGATTTAGCATGAGAATAATGTGATAATACACTGATGTTTTAGTTATTGCTAAGCAGTGCTTGTACTAAGTCAAGGACTTCTCAGTTTCCCGTACTCTGCCAGTGAGGAGGTGTGCAAGAAGCTGGGAGGTATAGCCAGGACGGTTGACCTAAACTGGCCAAAGGGATATTCCATACCATATGACGTCACGCTCCATATATAAGCTGGGGGTAGTGGGCCGGGGGGCAGCAATCACTGCTTGGGGACTGGCTGGGCATCGGTTGGCAGGTGGTGAGCGGTTGCATCACTTCCTCCCGCCCCGGGTTTTATTCCTCTCTCTCTCTCTCTCTCGTTGTTTTACTTTTCATTACAATTTTTATTATTATTATTATTATCATCATCATCATCATCATCATTATAGTATTAAACTGTTCTTATCTCAACCCACGAGTTTTCTTACTTTTGCTCTTCTGATTCTCCCCCCCATCCGACCGGGGAGGAGTGAGCGAGTGGCTGTGTGGGGCTTAGTTGCCAACTGGGGTTAAACCACAACAGTGTAACATAAGGATTATGCTTCACATATCCTTGTTTTCTGACAAAAATGTGCTAAAAAAGCTTTTCTAAAATGTGACATTCTTGCTCTAGACCTGACTGGCTTAACATTTAGCACTGGCTTGGGAATAACATAATTTTGGAATAGTTGTGTATTCCAGAAAGAATGTTGGCTTAATGAGCACTTAAAAATGCATATACTATTAAGTATAGCTCATGTGCTTGAAGGCACCATCAGGCTAAATTGCTAGTGAGGCATTTTGTAAGAGAGAGGAAATATAGCAAACCGATTTCTTAATCAAACTGTACTATAAAGTAGTTAAAAGGTGAAATTGTAATAAATTAAGAAGTCATTCGTGGAACTATTTTAAAATCAAATGCTGAACAGGGTCACTAAAACTGTTGCCTTTCCTGATTTATTTAGATTGTGCATAATTGTATTGTATTTCACAGAGGTAAAGGCCCCCTGAAGAATACATCAGATGTCATTAATGCAGCCAAGAAGATTGCAGAGGCAGGATCGAGGATGGACAAATTGGCACGGGCGGTAGCTGATCAGGTAACAACAACAATGAGCAGAAATATAATGTAACCTCTATCAATGAGTTGCCTTTTGCAGGAAAAGGTTATCTTGGCAGAAAATTACCTCTTGAAAGTCACTGTGTGGATACTGACCTACCCATTGAATACAAGTTGTTTCTTCTATACCAATCAGCTTGGGTTTTGTGGTACAGGAAAGTCATAAATGAGTCTCTAAACCTCAGAAATGCTGAATTGTTCTACAGCCTCACCTCTAGACCCAGCTGACTGTATTAGAATTAGACTGATATATTTGCTGTCATGAAAGCAGTAGAGACTTGGATGCTCTGTTACCCTTGTCATATGCCTAGGAATCCTTATATTCTTTTCAGCTTGTTCTTCCAGCAATTTCCCTTGATATGGCACTTTTCTTTTTCAAGATTCCCTGACTCCCTTCCTTCTGCTTTGCATGAGGGTATTGTGCTTTCACCTTACAGCCCCCTGCTCCATGTTCTAGGGTCTGTGTCCTCAGTCCCATTACCAAATTCATGTCACAACTGGAAAGATGAACTTGCTATATTCAGCCCTTTTCTTTCAGACTGGATTATCTATCCATCTGGAGAGCAAGAGGAAGGATCATATTAAAAGTCAAATCCAGGTTCTAGGTAGCTAATTTTAGATTTAGGCAAATTAAATTTGACTATTTTCTCCCTTGTAAACTTCCTATAGTTTCTTTCCTTTCATTGTCATCAGGAGAAAATTTGCTGGAAGTGGGAACTGATAGCTTCCTTACATCTAGTCATTCTCTTCAAAATAAGTATTTCTCTTTCTTCTTCAAGCAAGCATGTAATAGTGCGTAACACATCTTGCCAGGGAATATGGGCCAGAGTGGCAAGAAACCTGAACCTGCCCATTTTCCTATAACCTCAGAAATTTTGGGTTTAGGTTTTCTTCATTATCAGCAAGCATTTTTCCTGTAGTTAACCCATTCCAATCCTTCAAATGTAGCATCTGTTCGTTTCAGGATACGAAAGAAGAAATCCATCTGTCAGCTGATGAAATTCCTAGTATACAATATTTGCGGAGGTGGAATATTTTAAAGAAAGAAGGAGACTTGCTATGCTTGTAGTGCATTGGCTTGAGTCACATTTTAAATTTCAGAAGACTGTAACATGCACACTTTAATAATAAACGGTAGAATCACTACGAGAATGAAGTGTTTATTTTAATGCTTGCTCTTTAATGATATTTTACAGAACTTTGGAGACACTCACGCAATATAAACTTTTTATGGACAGTTGCATTTTTAATTACTGTTCCAGTGAGAGAGATCTTACATTTTCATTCACTGCAAGGTACTTGTATTTAAAGCCTTGTCAGCTCTCTAAAAGTATTGCTTTAAAGTTCATTTCTTTCAGTTCATAGACTTCAAGAGTAGGGTAAATATTTCTGTATTAAATTGTCGCTGGTAGGGAGAAGAGGTCTCTTAGGGATTCATGCCTGAAAGATGCGGCAACTGTCTGAGAAAGAGAGGCATTATAGCATTGCCATAAGTATAGAGCAGATTAAACCTAACAGCCACAATGAACCTCCAGCTTTGTTTATTGCTAGTTTTAAAGGGAGAGAAAAAACAAAGTGACCGCTTTCAGGGTTATAGACGACAGTATATGCAACTACTTCACCGCAAATGTATTCCTTGTCAACATTAGCTGTTGGGGCTAGAACAGTCATCCCAAGTCAGAGGTTGTGATGCTGTTGACTCGTGTGTGTTTAATTCTATCAGTTTTTGTTGAACTGCTCTGATAATATTTTACAAAAATCGAGCATAAACTTTGTAAGATGCTAAAAAGACATATTTGGAACCTTTGTTCCCCAAGCTATGCATTCAAAGAACATTGTCAGTCAGACTTTGTTGTGTAGTCCAAAGAGTATTTATTGAAGACATGCTGTTAGCAATGGCCCCTTTTAGCAATGTTTCATCAGAGTGAATTACTGAGGTCTGTTCTCTTGAGGCAAGACTTTGAATATTAACTATGAGAGTGTTGTTTATTATGCTGTTGATATTGTGGGGGATGAAGCAGTTTCTATTAAGAGTCCCAAAGACTACGAATAAATTGTACTTGGGCCTTTTCTTGTTATATTGATTATAAAACTTTCACTTAGTCTACCACATTTGACCTAATGTAATTTATATCAAAACACATTTGGGATGCACAACATCCAAAATGATACAGGACTGTAGATAGCCTTCCCTCTAGTATGAAGAGGTATCCCTTAGACATGCAGAGGGACCAGCTTGTCTCATGTTCTTGAGAAGGCCTGCAATTCTGGTGTCATCTGCTGAAACACTCTGTAATACGTCACTTACACTTTAGTAAATAATTTCCTTCTGGCACAGATTAAAGTATTTATGCATTAACAATGAGCTTGCCAAATCTGTCAATACCAAACCCAAGCAGCCTTACCTCTGCCTCTCAAGTCCTTAGTCTGTCAGTAAGGGGCCTGGGGTCTGCCAAGTCTGAAGCAGAGCTGTGTCCTCTGAAGGTCTGCACAAATGCCAGGGAAGCTGGCAAGACAGTCAAGAGTTGGCATTATAGTGGATGTAATCAGACAGAACTGGGTTTATCTGGACTTTAACTGGTCCATGTTGTATCTTAACCTGGACACGCAGTGGGCAACCTGGAGTTTCAGGTCAAACTTGGTCTTTTGGCTGCTCAGTAGATTCTTCTGTTCTGTACAAACTGATATCATAAGTGGACCTCCCCCACAAACATAGCAATTATATTATTTTCATTGTCTTTCATTAGTGGCTAACAGAGAGGTTTCTTCTTTTTACAAAAAGGTATACCGCATCTTCAGATTACAATTCATAAGTCTTGAGTTAGTTGAAAGGTAGAGTTTGAATTTTCACATTTCATCAAGTGTCTCAGGTAAAGATGAAGTGAAATGGATCCACCTAATACACGCACATTGCCACTATCTCCATTGATTACCTCTCTATAATCATATAAACTCAGCTACATCTAATCAAATATTTTTTTTGTCTGTAGTGCCCGGACTCAGCCTGCAAACAGGATCTGCTAGCCTACCTGCAGCGCATTGCCCTCTACTGCCACCAACTCAATATCTGCAGCAAAGTGAAGGCAGAAGTTCAGAACCTGGGAGGAGAACTTATTGTATCAGGGGTAAGCTGGTATTTGTATTTAGCCATTTACGTTTCCCATGTAGCACTTGAAAGGGAGCATTTTTGATGGCAATAACGTACAAAACAAAAATACGGTGATTCATAAGCAATCTTTAAAATGTTATCGCCATTGTTCCAGACCTTACAATAACTTGCGTAGAGTAATTTGGTTTTCCAATTACCGTTTGTTTACACTAACCTTGTAAAATCTTCATTCTTCCAAAAGAAAAGTAATTTCATAGCCTAGAAAGTCATTGCCAAGCTGTGAATATTATAATTATTTGGAGCTTTTGTATATTTGCTCATTATAAATCTTCTTTCCTTTGTTAGTACTGGTAATTTCCTTCCTCTGTGTAGAAGCCAGCTCTGTATGAAGTGCATATTGTTAAGATGGTGATGACTAATGGGATTTCATTCACTCAGGTTCCAATGCACACTAGGTTTAGCAAAAACTCTGGAAGGCCAGCAAAATATTTTAATTTTTGATGCACGTGCTGTTTTCAAATACTATTGGCAAGCACAATGATTATATAGTCTAATTCCCGTCCAGTTATTTCAGTTGTTTTCAATGAACACTAAAAATTTTTTACACACAATCTTTTTTAGAAATAAAGACACGAATGTGCAGCAGCAGTAATATTATAAACAATGAGTTTTCTACATTTTTAAACTATTTTTTCTTTCCTTCTCCTAATGTTGGACTCTGTGCCTCTGGGAGATTACTAGAACCAACCAGCAGCAATTGCTGCTCTTCATGATTCTCTTGTTTCGTTCTTTTAACTAATCACCCTAGTATTAGCCCCATGACACCTTTGTTATCTTCTAACTCAAATACAGAACATATGTATGTAAATGTATAACATGTTTCACTCTCCTGAGTGTGTTTTCAAAATGTTGGTGATTTGTGAGACCCAAGATACTTGAAACAAGATTGTTTCCAAATGCGGTTTTGAAAAAGCACCCTTTCATTGTTTAAGCCCAATCAAGTACGAAGATTGTTAGGACAACTAACTCGTGCCCTTCATTTCATCCATAAGATTCCCCAGTGAAATCACTGGCCTTCCTCAAACGTACCAGAAGTCAGAGCGAATGTTCTCAACTACATAACATTTTGATTTTTTGCAAAGCAGTATAGAAGGTCTTAAACATTTGCCAGGCTTTCTTGGATCAAACATTCTGAAGTCATATACACAATCCTAAAAGGAGCTGCTTAAATGTTCCTGTGTCTGTCCTGCAATTGGTCTTCACTTCTTGACGTATGTACATATGTATTTTTAATACCTTGATCTTCCCACAGCAATGAAAAGATCCTCTTCCATTTTTCTGATATTAATGGAGTGATCTGTCCTTGTATCGCTGACAGCTATGCTGCATAGTAAACGCTATGATCTTTTCTTACCTACTGCCATCCGGGTCCAGCTTTTCATACCCATTGAGTTGTCATATTCATCTATCTATAACAATTACCCAAATCAGTGCTTCTACCAGCTTGGCTTTTGTGGTTGTGTGTGTTTCTTTTTCAAGTCTCTTTATTCAGTGTATGTGGATGCTGAATAAGCCATTGTGAATCTCTAGCATCTATTCGTTACTGGAACATCACCATCCGTTGTGAAATTTAAGTGGCCAAACCGCTTGACTTCATCATTTCCAGTCTGGCTTTGTTAGCATCTGCTGCTTACCAGGCTTCATCACCATTGTGTTTCTGTTTGGTTGGGTTTTTACAGTCAGTTGCAGACAATGGCAAAACAAGCTTCAACCACAGAAATTATTTGGGTCTGTTCCAAAGACTCAGTAGTACTGACAAACAGAAAATGTTAAGATTGCCCAGCTTGCTTCTTCTGCTGTTGCTCTGAACAGGAGGTGATATAGAGAGTTGAACTCCTGTGCATCCCTTTTTGAGAGCATTATCGTGTTATCGGGTATAACACAGTTAGTACAGTACTTTCCTCATAGTGTTTTCCAAGCTGTTTATCTTCAAGGTGCTGGGTACTGTATGCTCTTTTGCTATCCAGAGATCTGGTATCCAAGTGCACATCTACATCTGCTTGTCTACTTGCTGCTTCTGCTTCCATCTTCTTCTTCATTTTCTCTTGGATAGCCAATTACAAATAAACAGTATTTTATTTACATTAAAATGAAATACCATTATTTGGCAACTTGCATACAGTACAGTGTTAGAATTACAACAGAAATCCAGAATTCAAGCTTCCCAACCTATGACTACAGAAGTAAGTTTAAGTGAATGCACTATATTTAAGTGTTTTGATGTAAATATCAAGCACCAGGATGATTATTAAATACTGTAATTTACTACTGTGTTTACAAAGAACTGTAATATAAATCAGATTGATCCAAAAGATGAGTTATGATTCAGAACTATTATGGGGAGTACAATCTCTGCTTGAATGTTTGCATTATTAAGAATATTAATCAATATTTATAAATGAAATGAAGGTATGCATATGTATGTATGAATCTGTGTGGGCATATGTATATTTATGTAAAAAGGAAAGAGACATAAAACCAATTAAAACCTAAAAGGCAGATGAAAGCCACCCCACAGTTCTTATAGTACTGCTAGAGAAAAATGTGTTGCAACAGCTTCAAAAATACCGTGTGCATAACGTATAATGTGCTATATATCTTTTGGTGAAACTTCTATTTCTTTTTTTCCCCACAAGATTCAGTATTTCGGTATGGTTTATCTCTGAAAATAAGCATAAAGCTGATCTTGTTTGCTTTTTCCTCTATAGACTGATATGATACTAGCATAGCATATGAAGGGGTTCTTTTTGGCATCATTGACTTTGCTGCAAATAGAAAAAGAGATCAAAAAGTAAGAAAATGTCACAGTCCTGAAGTGTAAATTATTTCAGTAAGGGAAAGAACCCACTATTGTTTTTCCCTTTCTTCCATTCCTTTTCCCCCAGCTCTTTCTGTCCTGTGATCTTTCCCATCAAATTCTCTGCATGCAGATAGCAAAATTATTTTCACCAGATAAGTAAGATCTGGCAATTAAGAGTTAGCATACATCAGCCTAACCTCATTAATATCAATGGAGCAAGGCTAATTTAGACTATCTGTTGCCTTGGCCCTTTATGTTGCAAGGTGAGACTCTTAATTCCTGATTCCAATTGAGTTTTGAAAAGTAAAATAAGGAGAAACTATGTGATACCTGTTCTTCAGTGAGGAGCCTTGTAAACTTGAAGAAGATTATAGGGAAGAAAGTAAAGAAAAGGGATGAGGAGGAAGTTCAATAATAGCAGAAAGGAATTAATATTAAAAAATGTAAAAGATTTAAAAAATATTTCTAATCTGTGTAGTTGATATCCTTGTTCCTAATAAAAGTCTCTTTGACCTTGGTCCATAAACAGATATATGTTTCTGTAATTTTAAATTTGAATATTCAATTTCTAATTCCCCTCTAAGAATAAACAACCTCCTTTAATAAAATCACAGACTAAAAGCACTTCAAAATAATTTTCCTTGTCTCTTGCCTTAGTTTATTTAATGTAATGTAAATTTGCTTCATAATCAGTTGCACCATTGTATTGGAATGAATCCTCTGAGGTGCTGAGCATATGCTACTCTCAGTGAAGTAAATATCATTTACATATATTTAGCTCATGCTGATAGATAGCCTTTTTGTGATAGCTACCTTTGTTGGATAGAGTTGGCTTTAACCATGTTGTTGTTATTTGGATAAAAGTTCAGACTTCTTCTAACTCTAGGGCTGCTTTCTTTTTTCAGTATTCCTGTCTGACTCTTGTTAGCTAGACCATTACAATAAAACAGATCTATACATTCATTTCTTACCCTAGGATAAATACCCACTTGTTTTGTTTACTGCTGCTCTGAAGATGATCAGCTCATTTACCTACTCTCCATTTAGGCTATGAGATTGCATTTTTTAAAATTCTTGTTTATGTTAGTAGCTTTCCTACAGTTTTTCCTGCAGGATTATATTGAACAGAATCTAAGAAAAACCCTTATCCAAGGCAGCCCCCTATCGTTTTCAGGTTAAATTTAGAACTCTACAGATATAATCAGCTGTATTATCAGAAAATTTGCCCAAAGAGTCTTAAACGTCTGAGCCAGATAGATATGCAGTGTCATAAAGAGTAACAGCCATGTACCTTTGAACATTGTCCAAAAATACTGAATCAATAGCCAAAACACACTCCAAACATATACTTTAGCTGGGTCCAATTTCCAATTATTTTCAAAGGCCCATTTATCTTAGCATAATAGGCTCAGCTAACGATACGAACAGAAGGAGTCTTATAACATTTTAAAGATACAAGGTAGTTTAGTTAAGACTGCGACTTTATCTAGGAGTTCTTGCTTGGTGAATTTAAGTGAGGTCTTTGGGGGGAAAAGGAGGGTAAAAGAGTTGGAGCCACCCCATTAACTTTGGGTAGGACATTATGAAAATTCCTGTAACACCTGGACTGAGAGGTTGGATACATAAAAATATTAACAGATGTGGGATATAGTGCAAAATAACTGTCTGTATGTTTATTCTTGATCAGTGATAAGCATAAGGTAACTGGAAACAGCTAGTCTCATCAAAAAAGAATGAGCCTCATTATTTATCACAGAATAACAGTATGCATCCAACAGGTACCTCAGGTGAGCTGGCAAACAGTTTCCCTATCAATTCTGCCTGTGGATCTTACATCTAGTAAAACAAAAAGGTTTAAAGGTCATACTTTTCTTTCATTTAAGGCTGAATCACCCTAAACTACCTTGTGCTGTAAAAGCAAGTTGGTATGCATATGGGCAGTGGAGTATCAAGTTGCTACTTATGAATTCTATAGACTCAAAGAAAAGTCAGGTAATTTGAAGTTCAGCTGCTATTAAAAGCAAGTAAGGCCATCTTTCATTGAATTTGGATTAAGAGTCTGTGCATAAGCAATTGCTTAAGAGACACTGATGTGGTATTTCATTTCCCCGCATCAGAAAGCCTTTCTGGGTTTTTTCTTTTGTTTGTTTTCAAGT